TATTATTATTATTTTTTCCCCCTTTTTTTGAATTTTCTTCTGCTCGTCGTCCCGCCCCTGCTGCCTCCTTCAGGGTAAACAATAATCACAAAATGATTCGGTGGAAAGGAGGAGGACATGTTTACAATTTTATTGTATTGATTGAATCCATTCAAAGAATGAATCAAAAGAGTTTTTTATTTATAATGAGCGTTAATCAAGCTTTGAGAGGAGAGAGAGAGAGAAAAAAAAAAGAATGAGAGGAGAGAGGGAGAGAGAAAAAGAATGAGAGGAGATTGAAGGGGCGGGGCAGAGCCGTGGTGACGGAAATGGCATAACTTTCCCCCCCCCCTTCCCCTTTTTTTCTTTCTTTTCTTTATTCTCCAGGGAGGGAAGAGAGAAAGAGAAAGGTAGAGAGAGAGAGAGAAAGAGGGAGAAATTTAATTTTTCAAAACCGCTTTTTTCTAATTCAAAAATGTTCGTCTCAAAGGAAAAAAAAAAAAAGGAAAGGTTCGAATTTCGGTTAAAACTTACGGGGATTACAGGAATTTTTTTTTTTTTTATTTAAAAGTGCGACGTATAATAAAAAAAAGGGGAGGGAAAGGTGGAGGAGATGCGGGGGAGGGGTTTGAAAAAAGAAAAAAAAACGTTACCCGTATTTTTTTTTTTTATTTGGTGTTATTTCGTTTTACGAGGAGCTAATGGAAGAAGGAAAAAAAAGTGAAAGAGCAAAAACTAAGGAAAAAGGGCGTTCAAAGGGATTTAAAAAAAAAAAGGCGGGAGGGGGGGGGAAAGCTTAATGGAAGATGATGATTATTATTATTATTATTTACCTCTCGCTTTATTTAATTAAACCCGACCGAAAAGTTTAAAAAAAAAAATGAAAAAAGAAAAAAAGAAATTTTTACGCGTAAAAGCCAAATGCGTGACATTTTGAAAATTTTATATAATCAAAAATTCCACACCGGATTAAATGCGATGACGACACGATGACGTCAACGACAACGATGACGACAACAGCGACAACGACAACGACAATTTAATATTTTTCAACAAATACGATGAATTTTCCTCTCTTTATCTCTCTTTCTCTCTCTTTCTATCTTTTTCTATCTCTCTCTTACTAGTGTGAAATGAAAAATGAGTAAAATTTTCCTTTTTTTTTTTCCTTTTACAGGTGGTGAGACAACAACGGCGACCGCAGTACCGAATTGAACCGATCACGAATAAATCAAACGACGAAAGAGAGAGAGAGAGAGAGAGAGAGAGTGAGAGAGAAAAAAAAATGAAACGGATAAATCAAATGAATTATTTGATTTAAAAAAATTAAATAATTAATTTAAATTAATTAAATAATTAATTTTGGGGATAATTAAGAAATCGAAGAAAGGTTATGGTGTGGGAATGGATAAGAAGAAAATGGAATGACAAAGAAGAAAAAAAATTATAGATGAGAAAAGGAGGGAGTGGAGGAGAAGAAAGAAAATGGATGGGGTTTTTTTTCTTATGATGATGATGATGACGTCGAATGAATACGTAAGTAACACAAAATTTGAATTTTTTTTTTAAAGGTCAAAAGAGACAAAATCAAGGTTTTCGTTATTAATAATAATAATGATGATGATGATGATGATAATGATGATAAGGTGGAAAAAGAAAATTGGTTTTTCGTATATTGCATCATATCCGGGATTTTTTTTTTTTTTTTTTTTTGTTATTTCGGGATGGAAAGAAAAGTTAGTATCATCGTGGATTTCTGTTTTTCGTAACGGTTTTTTTTCTTCCCATATCCCCTACCCCCCCCATTCTACCCTCCCCTCAACCCCCTCTATACCACTCCCTTCGTAATATTTCGATGAAAATTTTTCCGGATTCGGAATCGATATTGTTCTTGCAAAAGAAAGGAAGGCAAAAAGAAAAAAAAAATGGGGGGAGAGGGAAATAATCCCACGCGTTTGAAAAAAGGCTTTTGTCTGTCGTTGTTTTTTTTTTTTTTTTTTTTTTTTTTTTTTCATCTCTCTCGACAAAGCCTCCACAATCTTCCATTTTGTCCGTTTTCACGCACGCACGCACGCACGCACTCGCTCACAAATAAAATGTTTTTTTTTATTTTTATTTTTTTTAAAAATGGAATTAACCCGTCTTTTTTTTTTTTTTTTTTAATACGTAACGTAAAACGTGAAGTTTTGAAATTTTCATTTCCGGAACTTTGAAATTCACAAAATGACGCAAAATAATAATGATGATGATGATGATGATGATGATAAAAGTGGAAGAAGAAAAGGAAAAAAATTGAAGGGAAAAAAGTTTTTTTTATTTTTATTTTTTTTTGGGGGATTTGTGAACGTTTTTGACTTTTTATTTTTTTTACATTTTTTCTCTCTCTCTTTCTCTCTCTCTTTCTCTTTCTCTTTTCCTCTCTCTTTCTCTCTCTCTCTTTCTCTTTCTCTCTTTCTCTCTCTCTCTCTCTCTCGGTTTTTTTTTTTTTATTATTCCGTCACGCACCACTTTTGAAAATGTCGATGAATGATGAATAAGTAATCGAATGGTTAGAGTGGCAGGAGCTTTAAAAAAAAAAAAAAAAAAAAAAATTGGAGAAATAATAATAATAATAATAATAGCGAGTGGGAGAGAGAGAGAGGGGGGGAGATGATGATATTTACGATTCCTGATACCTGCCTACCTGAAATATGTTTTTCGTTGTTTGAAAAAAACATGAAATAATCATCCGTCCATTGAGGTGATTGAACGGAGGAGTAGGAGAAGGAGGAATAGGAGGGGAAGGAGGAGGAATCGGAGTAGAGGAAATCCTATGGAATGGAGAAAGAAACGTTTCCAGAATACGGAATAAGTTTTGGGTTTTTTCTTTTTCTATTTTTTTTTTCTCTCTTCTTCTTTTTTCTTCTGGTGAGTTTTTGTTTTAAACAACGTGATGATGTGGGGCAGGAGGAGGTTGACGTGATGTCGTCGTAATCGAAACGTCGGAGCTTTCGTTTTCTAATTTTTCTTTTTTTTTTTTTTTTCCATCTGGTCGTATGATGAGCATGTGTAACATGGTGCATGTAAAATACGTCGTCGTCGTCGTAGCCGTCGTCGCTCGCGTGGGAAAGACGATATTAATAAAAAACGCGAATGAACAAAGACGAGAGATAGGGAATGTAAAAGAGAGAGAGAGAAAGAGAGAGAAAGAAAAGATGTATACTGAAACGTATTACGAGTTTATAATAATTACACCTTAAAATTAATTAGATTTTTAAAAGTATAGTTTTTTTGTTATTCTGGTGGGAGAGAAGAGGGGAGGGGAGAGGAGGTGTTTTTCCTTTCTTTCTCGTTTGTTGTTTTGTTTACCTTTCGGAAAAACTTTGAGGTTTTTTTTTTTTAGTTTTAAACTGAAGATTTTCCGTACTGGAAAAAAACACATACCTTCTTCCCCACGTTTTTTTTTCCTTTGTTACTTTCCCAACGTTTATAACTTTATTATTATTATTATTATTATTATTATTATTAAAGGTTTAAATTTATCGAAGTTATTGGAATTTAATAATTTAAATGGGGGAAGCAGGAGGAGGGGGAAAAGGAGGATGAGGATGAGAAGGGGAAGGAAAGCACGTTAGAGGGGGAGGGTGATGGGAATGTAATAATAATAATGATAATTGGAAAAATTTGAACTTATTATTTATTGTTTGATTATTATTAATATTTATTGATTTGTTATTAATAATAATATTATTATTATTATTATTTATTTATTTTATTATTTTTTTTTTTTTAAAGGAAAGCTCATTTCCGTTGGGTGAAAATCCGAAACGACGAAAACATTTTCGAAACGAATGAAGAGAAAAACAAACGAACAAACAAACAAACAAAAGAAAAAAGAAAACGAAATGATAATATATCGACGATAATAATAATATTAATAATTAATCAAATGTGGAAATAATAATCAACGAAAAAAAAAGAACAAGTGCCAGATTTACAAAATATCATATCAGGTATGTCGCTTTTCTTCTATTTTTTTTTTTAAATCGAACCTTTTTATTAAAAAAGGAAAAAGAGAGAGAGAGAAAGAGTCCGAGAGAGAGAGAGAGAGAGGGATATAAAAGATTTTTTTTTTTTTTTAAGTTAACGTAAAAGGGAAAAAAGTTTTAAAAAAAAAAAAAAAGGAGAAGAAAAGTAGAGTGAAACAAATTTTTTACTTTAATTTTTCTTTCCTCCCTCTCCCCTTCCCGACTATTCTCTTTCTCTCTCTCTCTCTCACTCTTTTTGTAACCTAATAAAAGAAAAGTGTGAGAGAGTGAGAGGGAGATAAAGAAAGAAAGAAAATGAATAAATCATTTTGCAATCGGATTTCTTTTTTTTTTTTTTTTTTTTTTTTTCCGAATTAAATAAGACAACGTGAATGTTTAATGTGCTAATATATGCATGCGTACATACGCGTTTTTAATATTTATCGAAATCATCAAATCCGCCGCGAATGAGAAAGAGAGAGAGAGAGAGAGAAAGAGAAAGAGAAAGAAATTTTTTATTTAATTTATGTCGAATCGAATTTTGCAAAAGTTTATAAAAGTTACAAACAAATTTAATCGAGTTTTCGTTTCCGGAATGATGATCGTATTAATAATAATAATAATAATAATAATAATAATAATGATATTATAAAGAAAGAAAGGGTTGATTCCGTTTATCTGTCATAAGGTATTATTACTGTAAAAAAAAATAAGAGAGAGAGAGAGAGAGAAGACAGTTTAGAAACGGAAATATAAGCGTATATATATATTTAACTACTTGTTGCTTAAAAATGACTCGAATAATTTTTTTTTTTTTTTTTTTTATTTTTAATTTCAGATAGAGGTGCTCAAAAAAAAAAAATGGAAAAACGAGAAAATTTTTAATAACAATAATAGTATTTAGTAATAATAATAATAATAATAAAAGACTTAAAAATTCGCAATAATTAATTTACGAAAATCTCACGAATACGTTTTGTCGTAAGAAAAACATAAAAGAAAAGAAAAGAAGAAATGCCTAATAAAGGTTGCGGTGAAACTTCATTATTATTATCATCAGAAGATGAACTCGCGAAAAAGAGAAAGGAAACGATATTGATGAAAGCCAAATCGAAATCTATGAATTCGGAGAGAGTCGAAAGCGGCGGCGGCGGCTGCGGAGGTGGTGACGACGACGACGACGACGACGACGGAAAAACGAATGCGGCGGGTAAATGTGACGTCAACCGAACATTTTCCGATAAGAAGAATTACAATGGCAATAAATCGCAAAAGATGAAAATGAAAATAAAAAGGCAAGCGTCGTTGGAAGAACAATTTCCGGGAGTCGGCGGAAGTAACAAGGAAACGGAGGAAAGTTTAAAGAAGGAAACGGAGGAGAAAGACGGCGGAAGGATTCCGTCGGCGGAACACGCCGCGGACGAAGTGTCGAAAAATCAAGAGAGAAAATATCAGTTTTTGGAAGATTTAAAAGTTCCCAAAATTGAAATAATGAGAAAAAATGGCGTGAGCGAAAGTTTGAAAGGTCTCAAGGAATACGGGATAATATCGCCCAACAGTTCGAAACTCCGGGAAAGGTTTTCCCGGTCGAAAATATTAAAACAAGATTCGAAAAATTTGAGCGTGGAATTGTCGAAGAGTTCCGACAGCGGGATCGGAGTGTCCCGGAGCACGGAAGACGAAGCCATCAAAACGTCGGAAAGCGTCATTTTTAGATTTTTCGACATAGGGCCCGACACGAGACTCAACAAATCGGATTCGGAGAGGAGTCCGAATTTTCTAGACACTGTGAGCTTGTTCACGAGATCTCGATCGCACGAGAGATCCGTTTCGTCGGATTCGAGCGATAAAAATTTGTCGGATATCGATAAGCCGTCGATAAAAATTCGCAAAAGGCACGAGTATTCGGAGAGTCGGGATTCGAGTTCGTCGTACGAGGGTAGCATATTTGACGCCCACATATCGAACAGAGTTCGGAAACTTCACGAAGTTGCCTTAAAACAAATGTCGGAAGAAAGTGCGAGAAAATTAGAGAATCAAAAAAGAGCGGTCGATTTTAAATATTCCGTTGAATTCGGGAGTTACGATAGCATACCCGTCGGTAAAACGCAGTCGCTCACGAAAGTGAGAAAATTCAAAAGTCTCGAAAGAACGGATTCGGCCGTGAGGGGGAGTCACCACGGGAAAAGTGAACACGACGAAGAGGAAGAGAACTGCGGAAGAGCGACGGGTGAAAATCTCGGGAAAAACAAAACGAGATTGAAAAAACAAGACAGGCTTGATAAAAAGGTCACGATGAAAGATAAGAGAAATAATTTCAGTCGGGAATCGAGTTTGTCGACGGAAAGGAAAAAGGAAAAAAGGCTCCGGGGATTTTTGAAAAATCGCAATAGTAATAACAATAGCAGTGGTGGTGGTAGTGGTAGTGGTAGTATTAATAAAGACGCGAGAGAAGAGGAAAGCGATGACAACGTCGACGTCGTCGACGGTTCACCGGATCCCCGGGATAGTAATAATAAAGATCCCAAAGTCAAAGACGAGATGTCGATGCAGAAAAGGCTATCGAGAAAGGATAAGAAATCATTGAAGAAACCGAAGAGAGCTCTGTCGGAAGAACACTGTCGGAGTCGGAGAGAAAAATCCCTGTTGTTTTCCATAACGGGAGGGAAAAGGAGGTCGGATTCGGAAACGAGGCACGGTAAGTTTTTTCTTTTAGCGGTTTTTTATTTTAAAAAAGGAAAAAAAGGAAAAAAGAGAGAAACATTTCGAAAAGGTTTTCCATCTCTCTCTCTCTCTCTCTTTCTTCTTTCTTTTTCCCACCTTTTGCCTTTTCTCCCGGGTTCTTTTGAAAAAGCACATTGTTGTTATTATTATTATTATTATTTCCTTTTTTCTTTTTCGTTCCCTTTAGATTATGATTGAGGTCTCTTGCGGGGGTAGGTGGGAGTGGGGGGAGGGAAAGTAAAGTTTTCCCGTTTTTTCCCGTTGTTTTTTTTTTTTTTTTAAAGCGAAACGTGAGTTTGTAAATAATATATTCGCAGGTGTGTCCAAAAATTATGTATTCATTTTCTGTAATGTTTTTTTTTTTTTTTTTTTTTTTTGTTTTTTTTGGGGGGCGGAGAAAAGGAAAAGGGGAGGGTGGGGGGAAGAGAAAAGGGAGGGCAGGAAGGAGGGGAAAAAAAACTTTAGATTTATTATTGAAATTGAAATTTATTTATTATTTATATTTTATTTTCGTAGAAATTTTTTTTTTTTTTTTTTAAAAATTACCTTGCCCGAGAAAAAGACATTTTGTTTTATACATAGTTTTTGAATTCTAATAAATGGGGGGAAGGGGGAAGGGGGAAAGGGGAGTGGCACTCAAAGAAACGACGGCAACAGCACGTAAACCTTTTTTTTATATATATATATATATAAATTTATATAAATGTAAACGTGTCCTTTTTTTTTGCTGTCGAAAGTTTTGACCTTTTTTTTTTTTTTTTTTGTTGACTCCCCGTCCTGTGTGAAAACG